CATGCGTAGCGTTCGCGAGCATTCACGTACACAAAATCAACCAAGCACAGCAGTGACCAAAAAGGCTCGAAAAGTTTTCTCGTGTAGCTCAAGTAAAAGACCACACAGCCCGACCCTCACCTTCCCTCTCGCTCCTCACTCCATCATCCACAATGCCTCCCTTCCACTACCAGGAATTCGCAAGCGATTATAACCGCCCACCAGTCTACCAACCTTACGTTCCTCCAGCTCAACGCCAGTCTGCCAAGAAAGGCTGGCCCTATGGTGTCGTCCAAGGCGGCACGGTGATGGACATGACGGAGTACCTGCGCACTCAACCAACCATCACAGGCACCGATCAAGCTCTCTCTCTCTGGATCCAGGGAACTTACTTGCTTCCCTTTCGCCGCATCGAGCGTCTCGACGGTCTTATCGTACGCAACGAATCCGAGATGGAAACTCTCGTCTTCGCCTACCAGCGCTATTGCAAAGTATGGTTTTTGCCCGATGGTGCGCCTCCACAGCCGCTCTTCGTCCCGGGACTAGAGCCGTTGAAAGAGCCGACTGGTGATTGGACCGTAGTACCCAGGATCCCGGAGGTAGTGCTTAGTTCCAAGTTCGACACCGCTGGAATGTACTTGAGGGGAACTGAGCGCGTGGGTACACTAGTGAAGACGATCACGGACGACAAGATGTGGGTTAGGAATATCTGGCACGCACCGCTTGCTGGAGGCCCACTGGTGAGGATCAGTGTCGAGGGATCATCGCCAAGTGTTGGGCCGAGTGAGCATGGGTATGAGGATCCGCAGGAGAATTGGGAGACTGATTTCGGAGAGATTGAGGTCCAGGTCGAGGAACGCTTCAGTGATGAGTATCAGAATGAGGAAGGCTTCGACAGCGATAAGGAGATGGGTGATAGGTCTAGATTAACAATCTCCAACTTGCCCGATGAGGACTGCAACGACGCTGATGCCAGTGCCGAGGAGTCCGACCAAGACGAGGAGTACGAAGAGAATCCCACCGAACCATGGGATGACGAGGACTATGAAGTGACTAGATGTTCTTGAACAGAAGGATTTTTCACGAGCTGAGTACATTTTCCTAACTGTTGTTCATGATCTCTGATGGACACTGGGGCTGTTTGGAAAAAGTTACATGTGTTTGAGTAATAGGAAGGCATGGCTATGCTTTGAAGCAGTGTTTGTTTGTTTATTAGCGCAGCAGCACTATGGAATACCCTCACAATTATGCATGATATGGCAAACGGCGTTCTTGCAGTCGGCGCGTTGTTCTAGGTAGCACAATACATCAACTCAGCTATTCAACGAAACTGCGCCAGATCGACGTGAACTTGTTGGATATATCTGACACGCGGAATCTGCACATCTCTTTTGATCCCTAAATACTCATCTCATGCGCGTGGCCCAATAACCCACCGTTGCACCCGCTATAACTGCCCCCTCACCCCGCTATCCTCCAGTGCCGTCACTCTAAATACCAGAACTATCATCGGCCGATCTCGATTACGCAGCCGCGATAACAGCGCCAGGGCGTCCATGATCTCCTCCACGATCTCCTCGGGGTCGTCGAGGACGGTGGATTCGAGCGCACGGCGGATTGTTGAGAGGAAGCTTGAGCGGTGGGTGGGAGTGATGAGCGGCGTTAGAAGGGAGGGGTCCGTGGTTATTTCTGTTATGGATGAAGAGGTGCTGGTTTCTTTGCGCGTCATATCTCCTGTTCCAGGAGAAGAAGTAGAAGGGGATGAAGTGGAGGGAAATGGAGACGAATCATCGACAATGAAGTCATCAAATTTGTGCTCCGAGTTCCCAGGCTCGTAGTAGATGTCATAGGATTCTTTTCTGCTGGTGTCTTCGCCGGATTTGTAGGCTAGGTTGTCGGTGGTTAGGGCGATGTGTTCGGGGGATGGGATGGTGGAAAGTCTGGAGGTGGAGGAGGCGAGTGTGTCGCGAAGAGATTTGATGAGAGAGCTTGGAGTGGAGGGGAGGGGAGGGGGTAGAAAGGGAGGCGGGCTTGGTATTGCGTAGCTAGGATTGGAGGTACTTTTCTTTGTTATATGATGTTGGGGTGTGGTGAGGGGGTGCTTGAAGACTGGAAGTGCCTTTTTAGGATGCGAAACGTGCTGAGCGTCGGGTTGGATAGGTTCGTGACATTTTAATGCTTTCGGGCTGGGTGGGAGACCTTGACTAAGATACTAAGAATTAGCATTGACTTGGTTTTCAGGTTCAGCGGTGGTGGGAGATAATCTCAGTATTACTAGATGCTAAGAATATAATTCGTTGTCCTGAATAAGAGTGAACGTAGAGGAGACAAAGAAACAAAGACAGTTAAGAGTACGCTAATATACATGTCCAGGTACTATGAGGACAATAGCCACCAAAGGAGAGAGTGCGCGCACCGAAACTGAGTGGTAATGATTCCCGTGACCATGTATGCAATCAGAACTTGGTACTTTTGAAGCCGGATAGCAAGACTGACACTGAGACAATTTAGCGCGATCTCTGAAGGGAATAAATTGTAATTCCAACTCACTTGCGTCCTGTTCATCTAAGCAGACCGCGGTTCGAAGACCAAGTATCTCCTCTATTTCTATATTATCGCCTTTCCTCTCTTGTGCTACAACTTGTCTTCGTGGAGAACGCCTTTCTACCTTAGAAACCACAGCAACGTTACAAGCATTTAGCACCTCATCGCAAGGTTGCTTACTGAGAATTCTCGCAGAAACATATAAGGGAAGGTGTCCATCTACGTTTCGAACGTTTTAGGCTCGAATTTGCTGACTTAGGTTACATGGTCTTGCTAAGCTAGGCAGGTAGTTGTTCGTCTTCGCTTTTCTCGTATTCGCCCAACATCCTGGTATGCTTTAGTTTATATTCTAGTAGAACTACATATGCAAAGCAATTATATCGCACCGCAAGGCCAACATGCTGTTTCTGGGAATTTGGATAATGTTGCTTGGTTTCGCTATTGCGAGAGTTAAGGAGAATGCCACATTCGTGTTGCCACAGGGCACTGGGCCGTTCTTCACATCCTTCCAAAATTTGGAACTCATAGACCACTCACGCCTCGATCCTTTCAATTCTTCACACGTCCGTCGCATAATGGTATCACGATTCGACCCAGTCCTAAGATCGAACTGCAAGCTCACCCAAGTTCCTTACTTCCCGCCCGAAGTCGCCGCGGCGGAAGACGACATTCTAGAGCCGTACGGCTACCCCACAGGATTATGGTCGCGCTTCAACTTAGAAGTCTGCAAACTCGGACGCTCCCGAAGAGAGGAAAGAAGGAAATACCCTGTGGCGCTATTCAGCGCCGGTTTAAACACAACGCGCCTCTTCTCCTCTGGTCTCGCGCAGGAAATCTCATCCCATGGCTTCATAGTGATTACCGTCGACCACCCTTACGATACAGACATCGTGGTATTTCCCAATGGCGATGTAATTTATGGGGGCCGGGTGATCAAGCCCGCTGACATGAATGGCTCCACGGCGTCCGTGGAACGCGCCCTCGAGATCCGTGCACAGGACGAGTCGTTCGTCCTAGACACACTTGGGTTCAAAAAATACGAGAGAACCGCAGTCTTTGGCCATTCGTTTGGTGGAGCTGCAGCGGCTACCACGATGCTGAACGACAAGAGGTTCCGCGCCGGGATAAACATCGACGGCATGATGTTCGGCCCCGTTCTAAATGTCTCGCTCGGGTCGCTCACTTATCCCCAAGCATTCATGCTCTGGGGTAGCGACGGCCATGATTCGTTGACGGACCCTTCGTGGACGGCGTTTTGGAATATGACCGTCAAGGGAAAGCATGTAGATTACGAGAAAGAATTTACCGTTAGGGAAAGCGCTCATGGGAGTTATTGGGATTTGAATTTGCTAGTCGATGTTGCAGAAATGAGGGAAAGCTTGAGTGAGCTGGCGCAGCTTCTCATCGGTCCTATTCCTGGGGCGAGAGTGTATGAGATTTTGGGGAAATATGTTACGAGTTTTTTCTGGTATGCGCTGGGGTTGAAGCCGGAGGATGAGGTACTGAAGGGTGAGAACGGAGAGTTTCCTGAAGTGGTCTTGCTCAATGACTAAATAGAGTGTCCTCTCTGAGTAGTAGATGCCGGGTATACGCTGCGCTTGGTTTTAGGTGTTAAACAGGCTGCCCTATTGGTACATCGAGGCCAGATACAAGCATTTATATAATGTAGAAGAACTGTAAATAAACCGATAGATAGAGTTCACGTTAAAATTTAGAAGGCGTGCTGATTTAATCGCCGAATTTATATTGGTAAGGTTTGACACCCTGTGATCAACGCCACTACATTTAAGAGGCTCCATTCTCGAAACAGTATCCTGAAGAGTGTGATAGAATAGTAACCGGCCACCAGGCTTGATAATAAATATAGTAGATATTTTGGACATGGATGATGGGTAAGGCTGTGGGATTAAATGATAGCACGCTGACACTTTTCGCGAATATTGATTGTCAGCCAGAATTATCACCTATATAAGCCTCCATGCTTTAGCAGCAAGAAGGTCGGCCTCTTTATTCCTGATATTGATAACATGAAAGTAATAGGTCTCCTGACTTCATTCATGAAATAAAATGGATTAAAAGGCACGAGGACGCCGCTAGAAGTAGGATGAGTGTGCGTTACGGTAGTTGATAATGAAAGGATTGCGAATGTGCTAGTAGAACGGCAATGAAGAGATGATTTGAGATCTGAGTATAGAAAGGCCTGCACTTGCCTAGATCGCATACTAGGCTGTGTTTATATTTGATTTGGCTTATGACTGATCCGCGACTGGTGTGAATTGAGTCCGTGCAGCAATAGCTATTGATTGCTAATTTTACATTGTGGCACTACCCCGCAACATGCAAGGAGTCATGCATAATTGGCTTGGCCACATTCGTCCTATGATCACGAATCTAGTTTGAGCATAACATGCTTGATTAATTTGTTTTTATCTATATAAACATCTATAAAAGGAATTTGGTATTATCAATTAAAAATAGCCCGCTTGGCTTAGTGGTACAGCGTCTCACTCGTATTGCCTGCATGACATGAGAAGATCCTCGGTTCGATTCCGAGAGTGGGCATATTCTTTTGTCGATTCTCACTTCATTTTGTTCCGCTCAACTAACCGCCAGGGCCTTCATATGGCGAATAGGTAATACCACGCGCATACCGCTTTGTATTTGCTCGAATGCGACGCGGGATTGGACGACATGCAATACAATATCGGGTGTCGCGGTGATCCCGATAAGAAGCTTGCTGCTGTGTAGCACTTTTTTTAATACCCACATTCTATTCCAGGCCATAGGGTAGACGTGGCCCTCGATCTAGCTAGCTTATCTTCTACCGTCTCTATTGTTTTTGCAAGTTGTCTCCTGGTACGATTGCATCCGTAGCCGCCTATCAAAGACTAGACCAAAAAGAGCATAAACACCATGACGGACACACTAACCAAAGATAGGGTGTTACCACAGCAGGTGTGACTGTCAGCAGCAACTTCACTTCATCTTCTCCTTCTCTCATCAAAGACGCACAGCATCCTACCCCGTCATGAGTCCGCGGGGCCTCGGAGGGTATCCTGCGTCATCGCCGAATACCTCGGCGCATATGGTCCACTGCTCAGAAAGTGCGGGGTGGCCGTCATAGTCCGGGTGCTTCCTTCCTATTGGAGTGGTCCGACCTGCACAACTCCACGCTTCAGCTTATGCCCCCGACACCTCCCTCACTCAGCCCACTATATCTGCAGATAATCCCCCAGCAGCAACAATGGCAGACAAATCAGTCACTGCAAACCAGCGTTTAACGCAGATCAAAGACTTTTTGACCATGAACAAGACAGCGACGACGATCCCGTGGGATCCGAACTGCACAAAGTTCCCCACTCGAAAGGAGCTCCCTAGCATTCCTGGTGCTCCGGCTGAGGCTGCTTGGGTGTGGGGTGACGATGATTATGTTCGTGTCATATCCTCACCGCGAGAATGGCATAATTAAATAATGAATAGCTCGGTCGAGTCAATCTCTTGACACCAGCTCGCGTCGCCGCGGCGGCCAAGGAAATAAGGACAGGCGAGATTATTCCTGTGAAGTATGCTACTTTATACTGAATCCGAAGTCTTTTTTAATCTTAAATTGGTAGCTTGCCGTTGGACACGCCCAGCCAGCCCGCATTTGATCGGGAAATATTCAAGCATGAAATTAAGACGTTGATCGATGATCTCGCATACGATGACATTTATCACCTGAACACTCAAAGCGGGACTCAATGGGATGGCTTCCGACATGTTAGGCTTCCTCGAGTTCTGATTGAGCGTGTGCTAATCGAAGACGCTAGTTTGCCCACTTATCAACAGGTACTTTCTACAATGGGGTAGGTAATTTGATATCTAAGCAGAAAAATCTTTGAAACTCACTCCTCCTAGACTAAAGGCTCTGATATCAAAGGTCCGAACGCAAACCATAAATGTTCCATCCATTATTTGGCCGAGCATGGCATTGCTGGCAGGGGTGTTCTTCTTGACTACCGGGGCTATGCCGAAAAGAAAGGCATAAACTATGATCCATTTGATTACTATCCCATCTCATGGGAGGAGCTCTATCAGTGTGGCAAGGACCAAGGTATCGATATTCGTCCTGCAGTGCAGGGCGGTGATATCAAGATTGGCGACATGCTGTTTGTCCGCAGTGGATGGAAGGAAACGTACGATAAGAAGTCACCTGAAGACCGAGACAAGGCCGCGTTGAGACATGGGAGTGGGAAGGACGGAGAAGATGGTCTTAGATATGCAGGCTTGAGTCAGGAGCAGAAGATGCTGGACTGGCTTCACGACAGTTACTTTGCGACAGTCGCGGGTGACTCGCCTACTTTTGAAGCCTGGCCAACCCATGAGAGTATGTATTACGTGTCATCCTTCCCAAGTGATGCGAATGTACTGACAATCTTGTAGGCTATTACTTACACGAGTACGTTCTTTCTCTATGGGGTATGCCACTGGGAGAGATGTTGGACCTTGAGAAACTTGCGCAGAAATGTCGGGAGAAAAATCGCTGGTTTTTCTTCTTCTCTTCTGCACCCGCAAACTGCCTCGGTAAGTTCCTCCGGCTACTCGAAATCACTCCAACTAACATAGCTTGTAAAGGAGGCGTTGGATCGCACGTGAACGGTAATGCCATTCTATAATAATGCCTCATCCCCAGTATATAGCATATTTTCAGGTTCACCCGGGGCGCTGGCATCGTGTCTGATAGTTGAAAAATTTGATCGCTGTCTTTCTAATCTTACACTATTAATGCAATTAATAACAACCCAAAAACTACCTATAGACCACGAGGTATGTGAAATACCCCTTCCTGACTAGAGTGTGAGCCGTGTGCGTGACCTCGGGAGATCGAACAAATTGATAGGATTGCAGTACTAAACAAAAATTTTTCATAAATTTACCGACATTTACGCATCCCAGGAAAATTAACATATCGAAATTACTCGGCGCAGGCCCTACTACGTCCCTAACAGCATCCCAGTGCTCAAACATCAATAAAAAGTATATTCAGCAATATCCGGTGATGTCCTATTACCAAATGCCCTCCGCGCCGAAAAGCTTCCACGAGAATCGTAGAGCATCTGCGCTCTCAAGGCTTCTGCGACCTCTACCTTAAGCGTAGGCGACATGTCTCCAAAATCCAGCCCCTGTGTTGGCTCTGATTCCTCTTTTGCGTCCTTGGTTTGTTCGGTCTCCAGTCTGTAATTGTGGCCTTGGAACCTAAGCCTTGTCACGACTACAACAGGAATCTTGATGCGGGATTGCCGTCTTAGATTGACATGGTTGGTGTTCTCCCGTGTTCTAGATTCCTTTTTATACCTGTGGACCTCGCTATCGTTAGCCTGGGTTTCTCGTCTATGATCTGGATTCCTTGGTCTCCTGGACTGCTTACTAACTACACCATCTTTTTCATTCTCCCTCTCTGACTCGGTGGTCATTTTCTTCGCACAAGCTACCCTCCTATAATTGTATTTAAACGAACTCGAGGATTCTTCCTCGACTGGCGCATGAACTCTCACTCTTTTGGCCTGTGGAGCTAGGACGAGTTTTTCAACATACCTCTCTTCCCTGCAATGACTGCGTACTAGTTCGTCGGATTTCGTAGATGCAAAGTCAATATCCTTCTCCATCTCTCATTTTATGGCAGTTTTTCTGCCACGAGAATCCCGCATATGGCGGTGATTTACTAGGATTTGATGCTCTTGGTCTGGTTCGTCTTTGTCTTCTTGTTCCTCTAGTATCGCGGCTGGTATTTTCCAATGTGCTTGACTGCATCTGTGGGTATTTGCCGGATCAGTTTTCCTCATTCGAATCTCGGTTGCCACTCTTGAGGATCTCCTGTACGGCCTAGCTAATGGAGGTGATGCATTCCTCGGTGAATGCTCCCTCACTTTTCTGTCCTGAGTTGACTTGTGCCTCGGCGTCTCTTCATCCAACCACTCTTCATTCGCTGCCAAAACTGGATCTTGCTTGTCTTTGCTCCCTTCGCAATCATTCTTCACGACCTTAGCCATCAAACACTGAGCACCATCTTCGCAAAGGCTAGTGGGAGATTCCGAAATTATTTTCCTTTGGATCCGTCCTTCTCGCCTCAATGAATTTCTCGACCGTGAACCTCTTAAGCTGCGACGAGACGCCCGCCTTGAAAACATGTTTGATGGTCTGCATATCCGCCTTCTGGTCCGTACGTAGCTTCCGCGATAAATATTCCAATGCATGATCGGCGAAGTCCTCATCGCCGATCATGATGCCGAGTATGTGCGCGTTCAAGATTGGCCAGTACTTCTTCCATCCACATTTCTTATTCTTTTCCTCGCTCCTTCTCTCTCCCCTCTTCTCGCGCCTTTTCTTGAACTGGCCGAGCGTTAAGATGCGGCCATGGATGATGTACTCGGTATACATTCTTAGCGCATAGAGGTCGAGTTCGGGACTCCGGGGCCAGTGGTCCGGGGGCGTGTACTTCGAGACATAGTCGCGCAGCGGCTTAGAGCGGGCTAGGAGCTCCCGGGGCACTTCGATGATCTTGGGATTGAAGTGGACGGAGTTGGGGTCAATTTTGCCGACATACATGTGAATCTTTCGTTCATTGGGATCGTCTTCTATGGTTGGAGATTCGGGCTCCGAATCTGAATCCGAGTTGGAGTCCAAATCGGAGTCGAAGTCGGAGTATGATGGGGGTGCGTGGTAGCGTGAATGGAGCTTTTTGTGACATTTGCTATCTTGGTATTCGCGTCGCTTTTTACTTGGAGGACAGCATGTATCGCCTTTGTGTGAGTGTCTATGAACGGTATGAGAATGTGAGCAACTTGGCCTTTGCCGGTGTTCCTTATGTTCATGAGAGTGCGAACAGCCAGGCCCATGTTGATGCTCCTCATGTTCATGAGAATAGGAGCAACTAGGCCTACGCTGGTGTCCTTCGTCTTCATTGGGGTGTGAACAACCGGGCCCATGCTTGTGTCCGCGTTCATGAGAGTGTGAGCAGCTAGGCCTGTGCTGGTGCCCCTCATGTCTGTGAACAGTCATTGGTCGCCGAGAAGCAGTACTAGGACGCGATTTCCATGTTCTCTGTCTTTTGAATCTTATATCCTTGTTCTCAAAGCGTATTCCGCAGAAGCATTTTCGTCTCCCGCGAAGTAATTTCCTATCCTCCTTTGAGGTCCTCCTCTTTGCGGTATGCTTGCTTTTGAGCAGATCTCGGAAGAGCTTTCTTGAGTAATTAATTTGCGTTGGAGGATCAGAATCCCTGGTCTTATATCTAAAAAGAGGCATGTTATTTGTTGAGGTCGTGTCGTAGACTAGCGGAGCCGACTGATAATTGAATGATGAACGTTTCTGGGGTGAAGAATGTAGTTATTTATGTGCTCAAAATGTGACCTCTGTGAATCTTGGTGGAATATCAGGTCAGTTTAATATTCGTGTTTCTTTCGTTGTTGATGAGGTTTGGTGCCGTGTGTAAACGCCTCTTGAACATTCACTTAGTGATTCCATTTAAGACCTGAGAGCATATTCCAGATTTTTCTCAGTTATGCATATTGTAGCTCTTAAAC